AAACGCCTCATTAGCATAATTATTCGTGTATTATTTTAATGACCTTGTACGTTTATCCAGTAGATAAAACCATAAACAATAACAAATTAAATTCGGAAATAAAGTGTTAGGTAACCTCGACCTCAGTGAAGAGCGTGAAATAATAGCAGACAGCATCACTAACGAACTCGAAGCCCAATTAAAATCACGTTGCTTTTATTAAATTATATGAATCGCAACGAATGCATGCCGACTAAGTGTGCAGAGCTAAATACAATTGGTTAGTTTATTTATTCAAAACATATTTATTTCAACGTTTCAATACAATATAAATGATTGAAAAATATTCATAATAATGTATTCATTGATTTATGGATATATTTAATGTCAAATTTTTCTTCTAAAAATAAATGTGCTATTTGACTCCGTAATATGACGTCATCATAAGTTCTTATTACATTTATATATAAGGTGTATGTAGGTACCTCACAACTTTTTGTTAATATGTTACATAATAAGATCTGCCAATCATACGCATTGCGATTTTGATTAGTCACGCAATTTAGATCAATTCAACTTAGTTAAGTACTCTATTAAAATCATTAAGCTCAATATTTATTTTGTATTATTATTGCTTGGAGTTACCCGGATCGAAAGTAGCCTATGCATTATTTCAGACTATAATTCAACTAACCTAACCTAACAATTTCGAACAACACTTTTTTCACTAAAAGTGTTGCAAATTACGACTTACTTTATGCGTTTAACATACGAGTAGGTACCTCAGAGATATTACAAATTATCTTTCAAATTGTTCTAGTTTCCTGAGAGTATTATAACGCAATTTAATTTTTGGTCATTTAAGTCACTATTCTGCATAAACAGTACTTTAAAACGGGGCTACCCCCCTTATTCTTAAATTGAAAAGCACATGAAGACAATAAATTCTTCGCTTACAGTACTGTACTAAGTTACAAAACAAAATTAAAAATATGTTCCTTTGCTCGCCATTTTCATTTTTGGCCTTGTGCAATTACTCGTACTTACAAGATTACCAGAGCCAATGACTTTTCGAGAAGTAAGGCCAAGGCCGTATCCGTCAACCATCGACGTTTTACCCATCAACCATCTATTATGTATTATCAATAAGTTTTTTTGTGTACATTATATTAATACATATCTTTATTTAATTCCAGGAACAAAAAAGGCGAGTTTGAATAAGAACCGACATCGATCACGACCGGCAATTAGATGGTTTAAGTCAATCTGAGATGGGTCATATCAATCAAAATAAAATGTATTGAATATTTTTCCTGTTTTATTCTTCAAGAGAAATAAAAAACAATCACGTTTAGTATAAAAGGTTAATCTAATAAATGAATGAATCATTGTAATGGCAACATTGTGGTTCCGTTCTTACTCTAATTAGGCTCCTGAGGGCCTAACATGACGTGTTAAAGCGTCAATCTTCCGGACGAGAAAGAGTGATAGAGCTATACACTTTAAGTGTGGGAGAGGCATGCCTCGGCACGAATGGGTCGGCTCAGCCGGAGTGATACCACGGCCCTACAGAAAACCGGCTTGAAACAACCACAGCGTTGTGTTTCGCCGTGTGAGTGAGGTTACCGGAAGCTTAATCCTTCCCCTCCCCAATCCCTCCTAATTCCCAAAATTTCCAACTCCCTAGTCCCCAAAAGGTCGGCAACGCACTCCTTCGTCGTTGCGGGTGTCCACAGGCAGCGCTGATTGCTTACCATCAGGTAATCCGATTGCTCGTTTGCCGACCTATCACATAAAAAAATACACCTTTTATATGCTCCATCCCTCTTTCTCGCCCTGAAGGTTGACGCTTAACACGTCATGGTAAGCTTACTGTACGATAAATAATGGCATCTGAAATGAACGCCATGATTGATAGAAATAAACAGAAGCATCGTAATTACAAGAAGAAATATTTAAGAAACGATTCTTAATATTACCTAAATGGGTTCAAGAACAACAAACAGATAATATAAGTAATTAAATAAAACCTTTTTTAACAAGCATTTAAAACTTACCATACAATTTACTTACTCGAGAACTATATTTCAAGCACTTTATTCTTTATCTTTGCAATTTTGTAATTACTCAAGTACCGTAGTTATAAACATCCAAGTCAGTGTTCGTATGTGACATTCAACTTGATCCTTGTTCTGTAGCAATAAGGGCTATTTTTGTTTGTTTAGATCTATGTTCTGATATCATGTGGATGAGCTCATTGAATTTGTGCATTGTTTATATTGTAATGAGAACGTATGTTACTATAGAGATTTTAAATAGGCAATTTACCTATTTATATAGCTTTTTCATTATAATTATTCCTTTAAATCGTGTTTAAGTGAAGTAATTGACTTTATTTTGTACTCATAAATTAAAACTGAATCTTATCAAGACTTATGTTTAAAGTTATTTCAATTAGTTTTAGTCGACTTCAAATAGTAAATTAAACAATTGATGAATGAATGGTATTAAATTATCTAAGCTATTTCAAGTTATCTACCTATACATATAATCATTATTTGTCTGTTATTTTGTAATATTTGAAATAAACGATATTTACTCTTCATCATTATCATCCTGCTCTTGTCCCGTTTTATTTGGGGTCGGCGCAATATGTTTTTTTTTCTTCCATTCTGTCCTGTCACTCGTCAGCTATCGCTAACTCCTCTTTCTTCCATATCACTTCTCACACAATCCATTCATATTGTAAACGATATTTACTACATACATATAAAAATACATAGGTACAATACATAACCACACAAAAATAAAACTTTTAATTTTTGTCTCTTTGTCTGTCTGTATATTCCGCCTAATCTTCGGAACGACTGACACACCGACCACGAATCAGTATTTGTTTAGAATACATAAATCGACATAATAATATGTTAATTTATAATATCATATGCAATCAAAAAGTTCCTAAAAGTTTTTACATAAACTGCAATAAATCACCGAAACACAATATAAATAAATAAGCTATTAACAGGTTGCAGTACATTTATCTTTTCGTGACTAAACAAGAATATATTCAAGTGGTGGTGTCCATCATTTAGCAAATCGTGATGTTAATGAAGAAGGTTCGTATATAAAGCTTCCTTGGAACACCATATACTCATTTATATTTAACCACGATGAGATATAATCGTTTAATACTAAAGTTTTTATTATTACTTACTGTAGTTTGTGTAAAAAGTGATTTGAACAAAGATGGGAGAGTTGTACTCGTATCGCCTGTACTAGCCCCTTATAGAAATCCAAGAGCAGAAACGAATGAGACAGCTAAAGATTTTCCCGTGCTAATGTTGCTGGCTGGCGATGAAGACAAAAATCTACACGAAGAAAAAAATAAAGATATTGTTGAACAGCCTGTGTATGTAAAAGTAAGTTTTATGATACTTATGGTAAAGTTTACTTTTGATTGTGATAAATTCGTATGACGCAACGCGTCAATCAACAGCATAGCACCTAGCACGTAGCAGAGACAATTAGAAACGAACGTCAATCAAAACAATCAATTAAAAAAATAACAACCTCACTATTACAATTGGGTGGTTTCCTATTCAAAAATTAATTAATAAGACGTTTCAATACAATAAAATACTGAAAAATAACTATACTTTTATTCATCGATCGTTCGGTATAGGTACTGAATTTTAGATATTTTTTAAGAAATAAGTAAACTATTTGACGCCAAAAAGTATGACGTCATAACTTATTTTTAATACAATTTTAAAGAATAGTATCGTTTTTGACGTTTTTGACATTCGTATAAAAATATTGAATTTTACTAGTTGGAAACTACCGTATTCTCAGCCGGGGTTGCGGGGTACCTAAGCGCAATGAGGCACCGCGGCCTCGGCCGAAACAAAAAGAAGGAACGGGTTTTTTTTTTAGTCAGTAAGAGTCTGATACTCCTGTCCCTGACCCTGGGCGGGACCAATCATTTGATGATTCCCCTTACAAAAAAAAAGTATTACAATTCTAATTACTTCGTTCTTTATTTCCAGAAATTAAAAGACCAAAAACAACTTCGTAGACGCCGTAGAAAAATAGTATATAGTGCAGAGATATTAATGGCCAACAAAAAACTGTAGATGAGCAATTGTTGCCGGAACACGTCTTATATTTTAAACAAAACTCTCGTAAATAAAGTACAAGGAAATAAACGCTATAATACAAGTTATAGAGGAGTATCTATTAATGAAATAAATCGTGGTATTCTCAAATAAAACAAGTTTATGTAGCACCACTGTTGGTTTACATTCAGTTTGTGGTTACTTGTGTATATTGAGAACAACAAAAAATACTAAGTGCGTAACCACGCTTTTTGCTATTAGTTAACTTATTTGTTTTTTGTCTATTTATTGTTTTCATTTTTATATTAGCCAAACCAACTACTACTCAGAGATGGGTCAGCCTATTATGATAACTTACAAAAATACTGTTGCACCATTGTAAAAAAACATAAATAAGGTCCTGTTTCACAATGTTTTGATAACCACTACATGTCACATTTCAAGTTTCCTGTAAGCATCTTTTTTATACGTGATCTTATAAGAGGTTCTAACCTTAATAATTCATTCAGATTTATATCCAATAAATGAAAATGGTGGTAGAACATTTTTTTATTTCGTTTTCTGTAATTTATAACAGTGACTCAACGTAACGTTTAGCTTGTGACATTTAAAACATGTTAGCAAAAAGTATTTTCGGCCACCTACAGATATTTTTAGACCATAAAGGATGATTAAATAAACATTTGTTATTCAATGGTGATTTTTATTTTTGCTTAAAGGTCTAGAAAATTCCATTACTTTGTATTATTATAGTTGTTTAAATGTGACGTAACAGTCATAAGAATGAGTTTAATTGTTATTAAGTGTGATTAGGAAAACCGAGTTATTAAAATCTGCGATACCATCAGTTGTTGACATTATAAAAACAGGTGACAGTTGCATTTCGCGCCATATTGCAAACAATACAGATAACACAAGACATTTTTTGCAAGATGGCGTCTCAATTTTATATTTACGCTCTCACTTTGTCACTAGTGATTTTAAGTGTAAATTGTTTATTAAATAATTGGCAACAAAGTTCAGATCTCATACACGAACAGGTAAATATGTACATTAAGGCTTGAATTTTCAATAGTCAGATAAATGTTATCTGAGGAATAAAATTGTTGCTCTCTTAAACAAACATTTTGACGCGACAGCATCATAATTATTCCCCAGATAACTTTCATCTAACCATTGAAATTTAACCCTAACTAAACTGTTTTGTGTACAAATCAATGTTGTGCAATATTGTATCGAGTTTTGTTTTTTATAGAATGCAGCTAGACATTCTTCTACAAGCCGGTTTAGACGGCAGAGTCCACTACTAGGTATGTATTTTTTATTTTTGTTATGTGTTATAATTATATCCAATCTACGCACGCAGTATGCAAATGTGCTTTTTTATATTTGACAATTGAGCTTGAGCGTAAGTTTCCATTTCAATATTTATTCAAATGTACAAAAACACTATTCTCCTCCAAGCAAAGTAAAAACATAAAAATAACATAGGTACCTAAGTATCATTTTCTTTTAAAAAAACTTGCCCTCTGCTAGAATTTATTTTATGTCGTGAATGTGTTTACAAACATATGTACAAGTTTACTTACATATCACACCCAGACTTTTTTTGTGAGGGGAAAATAATCAAATGATTTCCTCCACCCAGGGTGGGGCGAGAGGGAGTTTCAGAACCATATACTCGGAACTTTAATTCCATTCCAGATTTGACAATTTCAGTGTTGCAACGTTATGACACGTAATAAATAGTGACGTTGTGAAATTATTCGATATGGAAATAGAATATTTCTGAATCGATTCCTCTCGTTTATAAATTTACTGTCGTAAACTAAGTTTATCAGGAAATAAAATATTTCTGAACCGATAATTTAGTTTTGACAATTAATTAACGATCTGAGACTTTTCTTTTGTAATTGTGTGTGAAATTAATAAAAAATGTGATCATAAAGGAACGTGACTAATAAAACAGACATTTTATAAATTGTCGCCGTCATCGCTATCGCTATCGCCGTTACTCTATGTAACATTTATTATAAATTATGTCTTTGATATTTATTGTCAATTAACATATCTAGCTTACTCATTTTTTCCTCTCCTTTGAAAACATGGGATACACATTTAGACCATTCGATAGCCGTAATTTTTTGAATGCCTTCCTGAACCTGATTCACTTATTGTTTATCGATTTTTGTGTTCATCACTACACTGTTATATGTGGTATCATTATTTCACAAAATGGCAGTGGTCAATGTCAAATCAGGAATCGAATTAAAAGTCTGACTATAGGTGCTCTAGGCCGAGGCCGCGATGGCTCATTGCGCTTATCTAACAACCCCGGCTGAACATCAGCCCTCTAGGGCCCCGTCTGTAGTTGTATATTGGCTCTTTGAGGCAGGCGCGGAACGCTAAGCGCGCGGATCTGACGTCCCTTGACCCGCGTTTACGGTGGCCGGCGATCGTCTAATGATCCCCGCCGCCCGGAGTGTTGCGTACTGCGGCAGCTGAGGCGTTAATAGGAGGATAGCTCTCTCACGCTCTCCGCCTCCGGCTTCCCAGTTTCTTTTGCTCCGCACCATGGCCTAAGACCGGGCGAAACTGTCAAATAATAAAAAAACATAATAATATATACGCATACGAATACTTGTAGGTAGTAGATTGTTCCTAAATGATTCTACTACCCATCTAGCCACCTTAACGTTAAAACCAGTCCAACCAATTTAGATCCAATCAGACTTTTAATTACATATTAAAATACAAAATCCCCTTATCTCAAGTGGAAAACTTAGAAAAAACATATTATACCACAAATTTTAGTGTCGTTTGTTTTTCCTCTATGATTACAAAGTAATTAATGTTTCTTGTAATATTCCCAGGGAACAAAAACTACGCAAGAGCGGCGGCTGTTCAACCAAGTGTGGTGGTCGTGCCTGGAGGTAAGCAGAAATTGTAGCTTGATTTAAGTTAGGAAAAAATGTGAATACTTAGATTTAGCGGCCTTCTTCAATGCCGCGTTAGTCCGAAATCAGAACGACCAAAAGTATTTAAAAAAGCAAAATAAGTATTTTAAGGATTTAGTTTTCAGGATTTTCTATTCTAGGTAATTCCTGCAATCTAATTATAAGAAATAGTATGTAATTAGTAAGTTGTTAGGAATGTTCATTAGAACAGTTTACACAGTTTACATTCCGTTGATCTTGACATGGTATACTCTAAGTGTGGTGTCTCTGGCAATACGTGCTTAACACTATGTTAGAGAACTTCATTATTGTTTTGTTAGTGGATTTGGCGTAGTGGGTTTTAGTGGAGTTCAGTGGAAAGTAGGACAAATCGCTTTTAGGTGTTTCTGCCATACCTATTACTTACAGCTGGTAGTGGCAAGAAGCAAAACAGTACTTACATACCTTTTAATTACCTACTCCAAAATTATTTTTCTGTAAATTTTCCGGGTTTTTTTATATCTGGGTTATTGTCAGATATGCAATTTTATGAGCATTTTGACAAAAACCACTTAAATGGTTGTGAAAATATAGTTTAAATTTCCTAGTATATATAATTATCTGATTTCTTAGCAACGTCGAGTGTCTAAATCTTAGAGGGTTTTTTTCTGGCTGTGATGTGTTTGGTAAATGCTATGTTTGTAAAACCAACCCACGTTATAGGAGAAAATAGTCGCATGCCCTCGCTTTGGTAAAAAAAATACTGTGTGTAATATCTTAAATAAGAAAATTACCGCATACCAGAGATATTTTATTACTTGAAGTAATTACGATCTACCCAGCACACAAGGCTTATGAATGAATACGTTTTATTGACCCATTGTATACTTAAGTTTCGAGTTTTTACTTACTACTGTGGGATACGATTAAATAAGAAAATTATTATCCGGACTTAAAGCGACATTTACATTGATTGATATCTTTGACCATCGACAACCGTTTTTGCCTGCAGAACTGCAGTCATGGTCGACTATGTAATTTGTATAAAGTAAATAAATAACGTACCTACTTAAATACATGGTGATACAGTCGTAAATGTTAATGTTCCTACCTGATATATTACAATACATAATCAGTATTTTTAATGTGGAAGCCATACTTCGGCTATAATTAGCTGGATCGACGGAATAATGCGGTTCCACAGAAAAACAGTGTGACACAACGCTTGCGTTATATATTTCGCCGCCTGAGTGAGGTTACTGGAGGCCCGATCCCCGCTCTCCGCAACCCAAATGCCCAAATCATTTATCCTCAAATCCCGAAAAAGCCAGTTACTTATCGTAACTTCTCTAGTGTTGTAGATGCCGATTGTTTACCGTCAGTTGTTTAGTTCGGTCGTCTCCATAAATAAAAAGTTCCCTACACTTTTGTATCATAATGATGTAAAGTTATATAAAAAATGACCTCCCATAGACGCGAAATATGTGTTTGTTTGTTTGTTTGTCTTCCTTGCAAATCGCATAATAGTGGTTCATTTATAATTTACTAGCACCGGCTTCGCACGGGTGCTACAGTATAAAATTTCTTCTTCAATAAAATTAAATTCGTTGCGTTTTTTTTAAGATTTAAGTATACATAGGGACAAAGGGACAGAGAAAGCGACTTTGCTTTATACCATGTAGTGATAATTCTTCTGTATAGAAATAATTAATTATCAAATTAAGATAGGTACTAGAGATGGATTACTGCGTTTAAGTAGCTGTGTGCCTTAAAATATCATTATACCTTTAAGAACTATCACTTTATTACTTATATTAATTTAATTGTGATAGTACAAAGTACGCTTAAACAGTTAGATGTACAAAAAAAAAAACAATATTATGATCAAAAATTTCCACGTACATAATAATATAATTAGAATACATAAATTAGTAATCAGGTTTTAAAGCGAACAATTTGGAATTTGCTACCTTAAAAACCGTTAAATATATTTTTATTACACAGATAATAAGGGAAAAAATGTTTTTAAATTACAACATTTTTTTTTACTTGACTCTTAATCAGGTTTATTTTTATGACTAACACAACTCACAATAACACATTTATTTATTGTTTGAGGGAGGAAACTCAGTTACTTCAGCTGTAACCTTAGGTGGGACGAGAGGGTTTTTTTGTCAGTGGAAAATCATCAAATTGCTTCTCCCATCCAAGGTGAGGCGACAGGAAAACCCCTCCGTTCCTTTTCCTGCTTCAGGCCGAGACCGCGAGTCCTCATTGCGTCTACCCCGCAAACTCCGGCCTAACTCCGCAACCCTGGCGGGACGAGAGGGGGTATCAGACTCTTACTGACTAAAAACCACTCCGTTCCTTCTCCTGTCATATGAAACTAAATTTTTTTTACGTTCGTGTGCATACATAGGTACTGCATCGGTTATGAGTTCATTCAAGGGATACACCGTTTTTAATGGATTTGTATTATACTCTTATCAGGCCGAAAATGGTAATGTAAATAAACCTACGGCGAATAAGGCCATTTAGTAAAAATCTTCTTTGTGAGCATTATGTGGTTAAAAAAAAGAAGAATCAAGTATAACCAAATGTTTCTTAACCCACTCTTTTTCAACCGATTCCTAAAGAACTTGGGAATGGTGTTTGCAACTAATCGACCCTCAAGGCAGGCGAATAATTTGATGTTATTGTTTTTTCAGTTCCTAACAACGCTTACAGAGGTTCACCTTATGGAACACAAGGCGTTCCGTATGGAACTCAGGGAGCTGGTTACGGCGTCAACAGAGCCCCAACCGTGGTAGTCAGCGTACCAGGTAAATATTAATTAATAAGTAATTGAATATTCTTATAAAAAATATTGTGACTTACTCACGTGATTTAGATAATTATTTTCGCGTAATTTATGTTCTATATTTGAAACTAGAAAGTTAAAACGCTCTACTAGTTTCAAAACACAACGGAACTCTTATTAATGCGCAGCGTGCGCATTTCACGCTGACGTTACGCAGCCGACTGCGTGTTATACGTCAAAGAGCGAGCTCTTTCTTAAAGGCTGATAATGAACAACTCCTCTGGTATTTTGGGTCAGTTCACCTGCCGAACGTAGAAATTATAGCAAACTTCTTATTAAGATTGATATCTACATATACATATAACATGTGTATGTATGTTGTTGACTTAGTAAAATGTCCTTTAATGCCCCAATGCGAGGATGCAAATTATGTAAATCATATTTTAGCGACTATTGTAGGTATGCAGAAATTTACTTAGTATACACGAAGTAATATTTTCTTTTTTTGTATTGCGAAATCACAAAAATATTTTTTACTTGCTACAGATAGCAGTAGCTGTAAGAAAAGTAAAAAGAAGAAAAAAAAGATTCTCTCAGACTTACCGGGAGAGTGGTAGTTAGGGTAAGACGATTTATATTTTTTCTCGAATATAAATAAAATAAAAATAATAGTAATATTTACACAAAATTAAAATAATTACCTGATTTTCATAAAATTTTGCATGCGGCATATGTACGCTATCCTTTACAATTTTAAAGTTTTTCTAAGTAAAAACCGCATCAGAATCCGTTCAGTAGTATTTGAGTTAATCTACAAACAATGAATGAATGAATATACTTTATTGTTCACCATAATAATAAAAAAAAAATAGGAAAAAACACACAGAATATAGTGCAATTGGCGGTTTTATCGCTTAAAAACAATTTCTTCCAGACAACCTTTGGATGGAGTAGGAACAAACAAATGCGATAGAAAACTTTTTAACTTTTTTTTATTTTACTACAAGTATTGATCCATATGTGCGTATGTATGTATCTATACTATACATATAATTTATACACTAATTGAAAAAAAAGTATAGTACGCAATATAAGTAGGTACCTATGTACCGTCAACAAGATCATGTTTTTATACAAGTTACGCAGAATACACTATAGCAGAATATTTTTTTATTTTTGCGGTCGGGTTTTCCATACTAAAGATTCATTTATCTCGATAATTAATTATAATGGCAATACGATACCTAAACAAAATTTTCCTGTAAACTTTTTTGATGCACACAGATAGACCATTTTATTTGGATTTGTACCTGTGTCTGGCATAACATAAAAAGCAATTTTTGAAAATCGCTTGGAGTAAGTTCCTTTTTTGGAGAGAGTAAAATCATCAAATACTTTTTTCCGTCCTAGTGTCAGACTCTTATTGACTAAAAACCCCCGTTCCTTCTTCTACTCTGAGCCAAGGACGTGCCTTATTGCGCTTGCCCCGCAATCCCGACTGAACATCAGCCCTAATAGGGCCCCGTTTGTGGTGGTCTATTGGCAAGATATCATGATATTAATTACATGTAACTAAATGGATGTTAAGGCTCGCCGATGAGAGTGCTTTTTTGTCACTGCGTATTTTTGTCTCTAAGTTACAGTGCAATGAAGATGCCATTAGTGCAATCACTGTAATGACGTGACAATACGGTGACTAATAAATTGCAGCGTGACTATCAACCGTACACTACAATGGGAGTCTGCCTACTCACTATATTTTTCTGATTATATAATTTTGAAATCCATTACACAAATGCTTGCGATTTGCCATTTGCGTGAAACGGGGTGAATAGCATTTGAAGGGTGAATAGCTCAAGCAGGAGAAAGAACAGGGTTTTTTTAGTCAGTAGAACTCTGAGACTATCTCTCGCCTTACCCTGGGTGGGAAAGGACATTTGATGATTTTCACCTGACAAAAAAATGGGGGGTGAATAGTTGTAATGTTTTCAAATTTATATTGTAAATTAATATTGTAAAGAGCTTACCAAGTTTATTTTTTTCTAAAAACAATAAAAGACATTAATTTAATATTAATTAGATTCTGGTTTGCCCTTAGCATTGACAATCAAATACTAACCTAATGAATGAAAAAGTGAATTTGTATTTTTGTTTGTAACGATTTCACCGACGAAATCATTTTTTCAATCAATTATATTCCATCTGTCTCTTAGAATAGAGATTATATCTTGATAGCGCCATCACATTATTAACAGATTGCTATTTTACAAAATAATTATTTAAATAACGCTCATAACAACATAAAACACAAGAACATTCTAACAAATTGTGTTTATCTATACATAGGTAGGTAAGGTACCATTTCTCAATTCCCTCTTTTTACCTTAATCGCAAGCAAAGCCGCATTTTTAAGCCAGTCACAAATAGGTAATCTCAATATTAAAGAAATATAAAAATAATGAAACAACATTAATAAACACATAAAAGACGGAAAAACCGGACCACTCATCGTACTGTTTTGATTTTAATCATTGAAAACACGGGGATTATTTAAATTTAAAGTATTTTTATACATAATTAAATTTGTGAATAATTTAACTCCTTAGTAATAACGGCAGCTGATTAAATTACATTAATATGATATTTTTATGTCTAGTATTCGACGTTAGAGCATGCCTATGTATTTGTATGGAAACAATAATAAAAAATCTAGTTTATCGGATCTAGGTCTATCTCAAGACTTTGCCAGTAACGTAGAGTTAGCTACTAAAATAATGTCAAAGATAATAAGTTTATTTCATCATTAACAGGTTTAATCAGATACATTTTAGATATCTTTTCACAGATCCATAATTATTTGCTCTAGTCTAACAATAATATTTCGCCTCTGAACTTATCACATACACTACTTACTAACTAAACTATGATTTTTTTTATGAGATCGGTCCGAAAACGTAATGACCAATTACTTTATAGTAAGCAATTAGCCCCGCCTATAGATATCCGCAACAACAAAAGAGGGTGGAGGGTGCCTTGCGGCCCTTTTGGGGATTAGGATTTCGGATATTTAAGGTTGGAGGAGGGATGGTAACCTGTCACATATTGAAAAACAACGCTATGGTTGTTTCACGTTGGTTTTCTGTCAGGTAGTGGTATCGCTCCGGTCGAAGCGACCTATGAATGAGAATGACAAGTCGCATCTACCTTCCAGCACTAATAAAATGCGTGTTAAATTATTTTTTTATAGATATTCGTTAGTCAGTCGGGACTTTTTCGTTCCACGTGAACAAGTCTATGATACAACATATAAGTAATAATTTTCATGTTTTTGTTACAGACAACAACTACATGACTCCGGTAGTAGCCAACCCATACGTCCCAAGAATATAGGCTACGTCAAAACACGAAAATGGCATAAGACACAAAACTTGTTATTGAAAATAAATCTTTATTAATAGAACAACTGGTTTCTTTATCAATTATATAACCCCCAGAGGTCAGGTAATTTACCTTTTCCTTGGTAATTGAACATCTGAAGGCATAATTATGAGATGCGATGATGTAGCTTAAAAAATGAACCTTAATTATATGCGAGTTAATGATGTTTTCCATTGACTTCCGGGTCACTGTTCCTATAGGGACGAGTTGATAGTTATTAAATAGGAATAAAACTAGTAATTGGTGGCTATCATGAGTACTTGATACCAAGAAAGTGTGATTAAGTAAAAAAGGTTCTATTGTTTTCCTGATTTTTGCATCTTCACATGCAACTTTGTATTGGCACAGTTATTTTTGCTCATGGTTCACGATATTCCAATTATGATCTGATTACTTTAATGCCATAAAGGGAGTCACGTCATTAATTGTACGTCATTCCATCTTGTTTTTCTTTAGCGTTTCATTACCGTCCTGTCTGCGCTTAGGCATAAAAAAAAACATTTTATATCTTTGACAGAAATAAAGAATATTATGGCAATAAACTTTTTACTTACTGATGGTGTAACAATTTTTATGGATGGATTCCAGATTTAATTCTAGGTTGCTTTTGGAATTCGAATTCGGAATAATCTTAATGAATGGATTTCTAATTTATTTTTTTATTTATTTATACACTTTATACAAAAACATGTAAAGGTGGACTTAATGCCTTAGGCATTGTCTAACAGTCGACCTTTGGGTGATTGAGAGATGAGAGTGGCAGGTGACAAAAGAATAATTTAGGGACATCATATAATTTTGAAGCCACGGACTTTACTACTAGACTAGACTACGAAGAATATCATTTCCAATGACCAGTAGCCGTTACTATATCTCTTTGAACTAAACCGAATACTACATATTTATAGAATTGAAGTAAGGACTTTATTGGCCTGCAATCACTTGACATGCACGCATCTTACTTACTTCCCAATTTAAGACTTCGAGACTACAGATCTCACTTTGAACTCTGAATAACCACCTCCTGGGCTACAGCACAAAGTGTTGTACAGAAACTATAATAACACTCATCATTTCAAACAATTTGTTTACGAGGCATAGAAAAATGTTAACAAACATTAAAGAAAAACAAAACTGATACTGAATTTCTTCCGCACTTACTTTTATTTAAGTTACTTTTGCGTTTCAGAATTCAGATTTTAAATACATTTTTGTCTATTTATAATTCTATCTTCCGCGTTAAGTATTTTTTTCTTCGCATTCTTTGAAATCTGATTTAAATGTTTTCCAAGACAACTTTAGCTTACGTCAGTCCATTAATTCTGTTATTCAATTTAATAACGATCCAACTAAAGACGCAAACGTTTTAATCAAAGTCTTCGCGTTTAACAACAGACTTATCTTGGCAGATTACCACCACAAAAACCATAAAGAACCAGTTCGCTGTTATTAAGTATGTATCCAAACACACACAGACGAGCATCCGGTTTATGGGAATAACCAGCTTTATACGTGCATGGACTCGGCAAATTGGCAGGCGTGTAACATCACGTTTTTCTCGTTCCACCACATGTACTTGCACACCATCCTTATATTTTCTATGTGTCAAATTACATCTGCTATAGCGTGAAAATTTAATTAAACACGTCATATTGAAAACAATCTGGCTGATCGGATTGTCAACGTCATCGTGGGAATGGCGCGTTCTGCGAACTGATCCCGCGGACTGGTGTCGCTAGTAGGCGGTCCATGACGTCGGAGCGGTCGCAGGAAAAACGCGTCTTATAAATAGGTTTGCTTTGTTAGTCCTGCGTCAGTGATCGCGATGGGATACTGTAGTGTGGTGGTGAGCGTGCTGGCGCTTTTGGCGCTGGCGACGGCCGAGCCGTCAATCAGAGATAATTCCTTGGACGGTGGAGAGCGGGTGCTGCTTGTATCGCCGGTGTTGGCCCCTCCCAGGGACTCCAGAATCCATGACACGACGAGGTCAAGGCAGTTCCCGATACTAGTGCTCCTCGCCCAGGCGAACCCATCGTACGGTCGTCTGGAGCCCGAGGCTAAGTCCTTAAAAGGAAACCTGCAACCAATTTACGTGAAGGTAATTGCGGCTACTTTTTATCGATATTTATCTTACATTGTAATTTATTAGCATTTTACTTCTCAACACTCTCTGAAGGAAAATAATAAATCATGCAGGTGCTTCATTGGGTTACTATAGTTCGTGCATATTTTTATGAGTTATCAATTGCATAAGCTCCATTTATAGGTACATAAATATTTACATGTACTAAGAGAAGTTTTAAAGACAGTGTGTTATGAATAATGAATACATGGACAGGAACGTGATATTTAATGATATATTGCTACTCATTGTGATAACCACCTGTTACACCGTCTCATTTATTTGTGTTTTGCATAAACAACACAACACATTTGACGTGAATTTAATGAAATGAAATTAAACCTAAATAAAAACTAATTATGTAGGAAATTTTTCGAAAAAGTTAGTTTTACATTAGTAGTAACATTAACTTAATAAAACGACAATACCTATTTAAATTAACTGGAATTAGTATATTTTAACAATATACTAATTCTAGTTAAATGGATTTGATGGATTATTAATAGAGAACGTACAAACGGCTTATATAGTATTCACTAAAGACATAATTACTACAATTATTACCGTGACATACCGGTGTCACACTGTAGCGAAATAATTTTGCATATTTATAAGTTCAAGTTAACTAGCGGTCAGCATTTCTTAGCACGCATGCTTGCATAAATAATATTTTTATCATGTTCATTTTTGTTCGCAGAAACTCGAAGACCAGGATAAACCTGAAAACCTGAACAGGCAGAAGCGCCATCTGTTGGCGAAGAAATTATTAGGTCTGGGCGGAGGCGGTGGAGGCCTAGCCTTTGGTGGCGGATTCTCAATCGGCGGAGCAGGCATCGGCTTCGGCGATGGTGGTGGCTACGGCGGCGGCGGTGGCTACGGCGGCGGTGGTGGCTACGGCGGCGGTGGTGGCTACGGCGGAGGCGGTGGCTACGGCGGAGGCGGAGGCGGTGGCTACGGCGGAGGCGGTGGCTTTGGCGGAGGACATGGCGGAGGCTATGGTGGCGGCTACGAAGAACCATCTAAAACTATAGTCGTTAAAGTGGTTAAAGAGCATGGTACGGATGCACTGCACAGCTTTCTGCACACACACTTTTTAATTATGCTTGTTGTGAACGCTTTCCTTGTAGTTTTGTGTTCTAATAATGTTTGTGCTTAGTAGAAAATAATTAGTAGAGTTATAATTAGTGAACTAGAAACTGACAACTAGTTTCATGCTAAGCACTCTTAGATTGTAAACGTTAATATGCTTGTAGTATTGTTGAACATTAACACGTATGCAAGTTCGTAGTTAGTAGTAGTTTTTGTGGATTTTGTATTTTAAAGTAACATTTACAGTTCCGCAAGTTACAACATTAGACTGACGTAAAATCTTTATCCTTAACGTTTTTAATTCAATATAGAGACATCAAAAGCACACTTTATTACTTCTTCTGTCTTTGTCAATAGACTTTAAAGATACTGGATTTGAAAATATTTGTTGATTCACTAAAGTAGATTGAATTACGTTGATGAGTTGACGTCTGAACTTAAATCATTTTTCTCAGTTATTATTTTTTGTCCAGGTCACGGTCATCACCACCGCGGTGGATATGATGGTGGATACGGAGGTAATGGAGGCGGATATGGCGGCGGCGGCGGTTATGGCGGAGGTGGTGGCTACGGAGGCGGCGGCGGCGGTGGCTACGGCGGCGGTGGTGGCTACGGAGGCGGCGGCGGCGGTGGCTACGGCGGAGGCGGTGGCTACGGCGGCGGCGGTGGTCATGGCGGTGGTCATGGCGGTGGCTACCAACCAAATTACAATCATGGAGGTGGTTGCGGTGGCGGATGTGGCGGCAATGGTGGCTACAGCAGTGGTACTGCTACCGCTACCGCTACTGCGACTGCTACTGCTACCGCTACTGCCGGCGGCGGTGGTTATGGGTAAGCAAATTCTCTTGAACTTCAATTTTTTCTATATTTATTAATTCATCAATCACCAAGCGAACGCCGGTGTTTAAGTGTTAAGATGTAATTGATGTAATTCTGTTAATTATAAACATAGGTGGAAAAGTAACTTTGGAATTAATACATCCTACAGTACAATGTCAAAGGCTCACAGATTATTTTTTTCTCAAAATGACATTCGAGACATGGAGTCAACGCTTTTTTGGCTCTAATGATATGTATATTCATGATAAAAAGTTGAATATGTTTTAATTCAATAATAAATTGTAAATGATAGCAAAAACTAACAAATTACTGCAAACAACCTATGATTAAGTTATTTGTCATTTTTCAATGACGTCACTTGAATATCTCGTTAATCTAGTCTTAAGTCAGTGGTGTGTCAACCGATATTGTTCCTTATGAACTGGCTAAAAGATCTTGAATTTAATTACATTCATTCATTAAGGTATAAACAAGTGAAAAATTTTAGCCTTAGAAAAGAGTATGAAAAGGTTAATAATATGTCACGACCGGCTTTCACTGTACCAAATAAAAAGTTGAAGTGTATTTGTACTGAAGCTTATTAAACTTAGAAATCTTATTTTTGTCTCATCGATTATATTATGTTTTTACAAAGTAATTAAGTTTATTTCTTTCTCTTTTTTTACAGAAAACGCTAACTTCGTCGTACTCAGTGAAATAACAGAGTGTTTCGAAGTGCATTGAACAAGCTGTGATTATAGGTGACAGGACGATTATTACTCGCTAGACACCAAATGGCTTTAATTACTTGGCATCCATGTAATTACAGATAGAAACTTAAAACTTAATACTATAGTGAGTAGATCTATTTTCAAATGTAATTTGTTTGAGTTTTTTCTGTTGTATATAACTTTGATACTTATTGCGATTGAGAATAGGTTTACTTTCGTGTTGAATGAACTGATTTTATGATCTTTTATTTGTGATCTTAAATAGAAACAACATTTTGAATAAAGAACACGCAGGATTATGTTTTTTTTTAAGAATTTAATGACTGGATGATTTTTGTAATATTAAATGGTTGTTAAGTAGAATTGTTTTGCAAATTGAAAGGTTATAATTCACCTACAATAGAAAATATTTCAAATTTGTATTATTGTGTCCGATAAACAATTTCCTATCTATTGTTACATGAATCCTTGTACTTTTTGTATAAGTAATAAAATAATTGAAATACAAATCTCTTTATTATTCTATTGATTTATTTTTAAATTCTTCCCATTCATTATTATTTTTAAATACGTAGAATACCGTTTATTTTAAAATTCCGTTGTAGGTACTGGTAGTAGTTTTATTACATAGGTACCTAAGTAATTTTAATGTCTTTTTTTTATGGTGTAAGTCGGCAAACGAGCAGACGGATTACCTGATGGTAAGCAATAAGCGCCGCTCATGGACATCCGCAACACCAAAGGAGTTACGAGTGCGTTGCAGGCCCTTTAGGAATAAAAGGAGAGGAGAAGGAGAGATTGGGCCTCCGGTAACGTCACTCACACGGCGAAACACAACGCTGTGGTTGTTTCACGCCGGTTTTTTGTGAGGCAGTAGTATCACTCCAGTCGAGCCGAGCCATTCGTGCCGAAGCGTGGCTCTCCCACACTTATATTAAATAATATATTAATTTCTAATAAATATTTAAATCTATTTAAACCCATAATCAATTCCTATTTCCTAGAATTGCTGACCTTACTCCCATTCATCACCTCTGCTAATCGATCTATCTCGGTGATGTGAGATAACCATTATAAAATGATTGATAACCTTTAATTACATAATTGCTATACTTAAGACTGTTCTGTAAGAGTGCAATTAGCAATGAACTTGTAATCAATAACCGTTGTACTTAATGATTACTTAAATTGTTCCTTAGTAACGATTTTTTTCCGAAAATAATTGACTAAATATGATGTTCATTAATCATATAAGATTCTGGGACTTTTTGAAAAAAATATTTACATTTACAATTTTACTAATTATATTTTATTATGAATATTTATTAAATAGGGTGAACTATTTAAACCCTTTTGCCAATGTTGAGAAATTTAAAAAAAGTCACCGTAGATACTTTGTTGCGGTTGCAGTCATCGGAAAAAATGCAGCGAATACACATACTGTGCAGCAAATTTTAGTATAAAATAACTAACTATAAATGATGAACATTTGCGCAAATATGATAAAGAACGAATAAAATAAAGCTGTGAGACCTCAGGCTAGATCAAATTTTTTGGTAAACAAAAAAGCCCAAAGATTTTATACTAAAGTCTAGCATGTGACCTCTAAATACGGCAGTTTTCCAAAAAGACACATTTTTTATAAATAATAAAAATAAAGTCTTTGGAATAAGAGAAGATATAATATAGAGCCTACTTGGATATATTTAATTCTTGTCCATCCTCATTACTCACGCGGCCTTCTGCGTGAATCCGCTTTTTATTTTTAAAGTCAGCCAGTAAACTTGTTTTAAAGATTCCATTTTTAAATTCAACATTGTTTTTAAAAATCGACACGTGAAATTAATTCTTTATTACGTTCCCAAGCGAATAAAAATCGAGAGAAAAATGACAATTAATGTTAATTTATTAAAATTCGAAGCAGTTTTAAGAAAAATGTGTTTTATAACAATAAATCCTATGGACAAGTAAATAGGTTGGAAAATACTTATGGAAAAATATTTGAAATTTGCTCATTTACAAGCAAAAAATCTTTATTGCAATGTAGTTCATTCCTTGAACTAGGTATTCACCCTGATCTCATAGTTAGTTACGTCACCGATACTTAGCTCTTATTATATGATTATTATCATTTTTCTCAGTAACATCGAAGCGAAGTAAACAAGAATGTCAGATTATTGTTGTAAAAACCACAAAGTGATAGGGAAATCCTAACTTGAATATAGATCTAAACGCAATGCATGTAAGACTGGAGCAAATAGTTTATTGAAGTGGGAAAATAGCTTTATAAAACATTCCATTGCTTATACATATATTAATTTATCAATTTGTACCGACTTGAAAACTTTTTTCGTCAGGTAATAAGCTCATTTTTATATAAATCAAATCACCCACTGTATATCTCACACCACATTCCATTGTGTACACTTTTGACAGTAGAATTGCCAATCTCACATAGTTTACCTGATGTACCAGAATCTAAAAATTTTAATTATGTGCGAAGGAACATTTGCTATAGAAAGCTTTTCCCATAGTATGTCATATGATACTTTGTCAAATCAAATGTTTGACTATTTAAAAAACAAGTGAAAACTGGAGCTGGATCTTTATAGTACTTCACAGTCTTTTTAAAATAAAATAAAAATAAAAAACCTTTTCTAAAACCATGTTGAGCATCAAACAGCCTTACGTTATCTAATGCCAATAGTATATTGTACACCACAGTTCTCCCTACGGCATTTCGGATGCACACGCAATAATTTATTGCAGACTCGGCCTTTACATGAAACAGAAGGTGGTTTTTAGTCAATACCTCCCCCTGGGCTAAGCTTAAATCATACGGTCTCCTGCATTAAACTGACCGAGGGAAGTGGAAACTTTCCGTTTTTCTTCTCCTCAAATAATATCTTATAATTATTTCGTTGGGGTCCAAGATTCATGTCCTTGGGACGCGACCGCGGACTTCAATGTTTCGGTGTTATCGAGGTTGAATCTACTGTGGAATCTGGCTTACAGGAGTTGCTGTAGTGACCATAAAAAAATTATAGTACGTTTCCACTTAGGCTCAGCCGAGGCGAAAAAATTTGGTGATTTTTCGAAAAAGAAAACCGCACAGATGAAGCACGTAGTCTAATAGTGAACAGTAACAGACTATTGATCAGCTCCTAATCTCATACAACAGCTAATTCTTTTAAAAATGCACCACAATATTAAATATCTTCGAAAACAAATAAGGCGCTTTAGAAAAATAAATAGTAAAGCGCCTGTGTTATTCGTAATCATTTTAACTTAACGCTGCCGTGGTGTAATTTATTGCTCTACGTATTTTGTAGGAGCCCATTATCGAGTTGACAGCCACATTCTTACCATTGTGACTAAAGTCTGCCATCGGATTTGCCTGCTTTACGAAGGTGAAACATAGCTTAGGTTTATTTATAATTCATCTCCTTCCCAAATTTCATTCAGTGTTTTCTCAAGATAGAAGGTAACAAACATCCATACCTAAAAACTTTTACTTTTACAATATTAGTTGGATAGGTTTGTTCTATACTATACTATTTTGTTTTTCGTTTGGTACTTACAGGCAGTTTACCATATGCTACAATATACCTAATATTGTAGTATATAAATAATAGCATAAAAAATAATATAACACATAATAAAGTGAAAAGTATTTTCAGCAAAATTTTATTTAAAACCAAGAAACCTTTTTTAAGATAAAGGTTGTTTTATTTTGAGAAAACTTTAGTGTCTTTCATATTCTAACAAGAAGCTTTAGGTATAGTTGTATACGTAAATACATATGTACATGCACGTGTCAAGATAGACCTACAAGTTTTGTTTATCATATTAAGTTATAAGAAAAAAAATACCTACATTTATTTAAATGGAAAGGATATTTAGGCACACAAAAATACATTCTTCTGGAGTCCAAAACCAGGTCAAACAATAAAACTCAAAAAAAAAATAGACTGCAATAAGAAATGATTTTATCGTTGCCATAAAGAACAATACAAAGTTAATAATAACTTCGTACAAGAACATACACATATTGTAAATATAATGTCCATATTTTGCACGATTCTCCATTCAGTATAAGAATAGAGTTATATATTCATTCGATTATAAATGGTATTCAGTGCAATTATTAATATAATCGGCGAGTAACTTCAAAGCGTAAGGTTATCACCGACACCTCTTAAGACTGGACATAATTAATTACTTATAAATTAACTGGTAACGATTTCAATATGGCAACGTTCTGTATTTCTAAGAAATGTCATTAAACTTTTGACTTATTAATAATGGCGCATTTATAAATTAACCTCACTTTCTTTCGTTGGTTTTTCGATCCGATCAGACTAAATGGGTTCGCCTTTGTAATCTAAATGTAAGTAATTCTTTATACCTTCTTCCCCTCTGTATTTAAATATATTTGAAAGTAAAAGAGTATCAAATGACACAGACTCGTATAAATAAGTAAGTATTTATAGGCAATCCGTGTAATGATGTTATGCAGATAAGAAAACAAATGGAAATTTTGTCCGTTCGCATGTCACATCTTTCTGCTTCACACAGCAAAACTTTGGAATGATCTTTCGCCAGCGGTAATTCCTATTTCCTACAAAGGTAAAAGAAACTTGCGTACTTCTTCCCCAAAAGGCCAGCTACGTACATTTAACTCTTCTGGTATTACGCTTACCATCAGACGATAAGTCTGCTCGTTTGTCTCCTATTCAATTTTTTATAAGTAGATTATTATAAGATCTGTTGACATGTTCCAGCCAGTCCAGCTTGCACTTGGCTCTTTTATAATGAATCCATATTTTTGAAGCCATTAGTCATCTCAACAAACTAATAGTATGGAAGGATCTTCGTCCTGAATTAATATTAATTTTCGTATCTGATAACCAAATAACTAGGCTGACTTTAGCTATCTAATCCAAAATATTGAAAAAACAAAGGCGACCTGAAGAAAAGTATGACATTAATGGATTCTCTTATTAATTTAATTAATCTTTTACATTAAGGCGACAATGGCCCATAGATATTTTTGACACCTATAAATACACAAAGGTTGTCTGGAAGAAATCACCGTGCGTGATAAGACCGCCCATTGTACACTGTGTGGTTGTTAGCCTGCTCTTTGTGTCTTAATTTGTAATGTTGTGTTTAATAAAGAATATATAAATAAATAAAATAAATAAAAACGAACATACATTATACGTTATATAATACAAAACTTCTTCATAAATAAAAGCTAGCTAAATTTGTGTGAAGTAACTATGTCATTCATCACTTCATAAATTTGTGTGAAGTAACTTGTTACGAGATATGCACTTGCATTGTGCGTTCATATGGAACTTGTCCGCAGAAGCGACGGAACACCACGTCCTAGTAAAGTAATAGTGGGTACCTATTGGCTATGTGCAAAGCGAGTAGTGGCGGACAGATAACGACCGCAGCGCACAACATGGCAGAAATTGGAAACAAATGCGGATGATCAGC